TCCCCTCTTAAATCATGCTGGATGGGGGATTCTGGGAGTTGAAGCCCTCCCCTCTTAAATCATGCTGGATGGGGGATTCTGGGGGTTGAAGCCCTCCCCTCTTAAATCATGCTGGCTGGGGGATTCTGGGGGTTGAAGCCCACCCCTCTTAAATAATGCTGGCTGGGGAATTCTGGGGGTTGAAGCCCACCCCTCTTAAATAATGCTGGTTGGAGAATTCTGGGGGTTGAAGCCCACCCCTCTTAAATCATGCTGGTTGGAGAATTCTGGGGGTTGAAGCTCACCCCTCTTAAATCATGCTGCTTGGGGGATTCTGGGAGTCGAAGCCCACCCCTCTTAAATCATGCTGGATGGGGGATTCTGGGAGTTGAAGTCCACCCCTCTTAAAGGTTGAGAAACCTGCTCTAAACTTTGAGTTTCAAATCAAGGCTGGCAACCGAGGCCACGTCTCTGTAATGGGTGTAAACACAAGAACAACGTGAGGCTGTGTTTATTTCCCTTCCCTGTTCCCTCCATACGAGACAATGACTAAATCGTGGGATTTTGCAATCTGGGGCTCGCCAACTCTTCCCGGAGATGAACCGCACATCCTTTGTGGCCCCTGAAAACAGAGTCGCCCAAAGATTGATCCCACACCGTTGCTAAGTGAATCAGGCTCTTGACTCGACGGTCGCTAAAGAGGACGCCGGGATGCGGTGATTGTCACAAATCCGAGTGAATGGCCGAGGGTCCGGATTTCGATCGTGGGACGACGGATCGTGCTACAACTGCTGTTTGGTGTGAAAAACGATCCTCGTTCCTTCTTTTCAGTCTCTTCGGTCAATAAAATCTACCGTTGTAAGTCAAGGACTAACTGTATCTTAGCAAAAACAACCACGGGACATCCGCTGCCTTTAAAAGGGTGGGATGGACTGTATTTATCCCAGCCTTCCGATGGGGGTCCCGCTCGCCAGGAAGAATTTTGCCGCCGGCATCCATTCAAATTCTCGAATTTGGACGGTCGCCCTGTAACCACTAGGCCTGACCGCCTGCGAGCGAAGAGAGCAAGAGAGGGAAAATTGAGGGGCGCGCACTTTGCAATGGTTTCCCCCCCCCACAATTGCTGGATTTATACCCTTCGGGGTTCCCGGAGGGGATTAAAAAAATAAAAATAAAAAACCAAGCAAAATTATTTGTCTAGTTGTGAGCAGAAGATGAGCTAAATGTTTCATTTAATCTATAAGTTTATAAGTTTAATAACATTTATATGTTGTCCAATCCCGTAGGACTCCGGGCGGCTTACAGTACAAAAATAATCCAAAAAAGGGGAAAAAAAAGTAAGATACAGGGAAGAAAGATAGATAGATATAAAATACAACACATCATGCACTCCGTTCTGAATGGGGCTGGACCGTATTTTGGGGGTCAACAGCCCCAGGCCTGCCGGAACAGCCAGGTTTTAATGGCTTTCCGGAAGGCCGAAAGAGTGGGAAGGGTCCGGATCTCTGCGGGGAGATCGTTCCACAGGGCCGGGGCAGCTACAGAGAAGGCCCTGCCCTGAGGAGTCGCCAACCGGCATTGCCCAGTCGACGGTACCCGGAGGAGGCCCATCCTGTGGGATCTTATGAATCTCAGATTCGGGACAGAATGAACATCAAATTAAAAAAACCCGCATGAGTCGTGGTTCCCGGGGCTGTTTGCTTCTGGGTTCGAGGACTATGGGGAGGGGAGGGGAGGGAGGGGGGGAGGGGAGGGGCTGCCCCGGAGCGTGAGAAAAGGATCTCGAGAGGAAGACAAACAGTTGAGCAATTTCGCAAGCGGGATGAGGCATTCGACAGGTTAAGAGGGAAACGGTGGCGAAATCTCTTTTTGTTTTCAATTCGGGGTGATGCCTGGTGAGAACGGAAGCGGGGTGGGGGACGACGGGGAGGAAGAAGGGACAAGACATCTCCAGATTTTGTGGGGAGCAAACCTTCTTCCATATCTAACATGAGTTGGGTTATGTTTTTTGGGGGGAGGGTTTAAATCCTCATCTTGAGCTGGGATCACCCCGTCGAAGTGGAAAGGGGAGAAAGCATCGATTGACCCTCTCCAAATAAATATTAAAAACTGTGTCGGGTTGGCAGGTCCTGATTTTGAGAGGTGGGGATGCAATGTTGGATATTTGGGGTTTTCGGCCCCCTCCATCGTCCTCCTCCTCCTCCTCTGCCTCCCCTTTCGGAAGTCCCCAGCGAAGTGGTCACTTTGGGTGAGCGATGTGAAAGGGATTCCATAATGGATTACCTGGATAGGATCTTAGGGATGGCATCCAGTTTGCATCCTCTCCACATCTTTCCATCTGCTTTGACCCAACGTTTTAGGAGAAACACAGCCCGGTTTTGAATCAAGTGTTTTGGCCAGTCCCTTAGCAAAGTTTGCAAACCGAACTTCTAAAAATAGCTTTATTTTCAATGTTGCTTCCAAATGAGGCTGGTGAAAGATTGTAATGAAGAGATTTGGTTTGAGTTGGGTTGTTTTGGTTCATTTTGATTTGGGTTGGTTTGAGTTTGGTTTGAGTTTGGTTGGGTTGGGTTTGGGTTGGTTGAGTTGGGGTTGTGGTTGGGTTGGGTAGCATTGGTTGGGTTGGGGTTGGGGTTGAGTTGGGCTGGGGTTGGGTTGGTTGAGTTGGGGTTGGGTTGGGTAGCATTGGTTGGGGTTGGGTTGGGTTGGGTTGGGGTTTGGATTGGGTTGGGGTTGAGTTGGGCTGGGGTTGGGTTGGTTGAGTTGTGGTTGGGTTGGGTAGCATTGGTTGTGTTGGGGTTGGGGAGCATTGGTTGGGTTGGGGTTGGGTTGGGGAGCATTGGTTGGGTTGGGTTGGAGTTGGGTAGCATTGGTTGGGTTGGGGAGTATTGGTTGGGTTGGGTTTGGG